CCCCAACTATACATGTTTAGCTACGGCCCTGACAAGGGTGTACAGCCAGAGGAACATAAAGTAAAGGCAATTCGTGCATGGGTTGCACCAACTGCTTGTCTTAAAGAGAGGTGCAAATGTCTTTGGGTGCAGTTGGGTGGCATCGGAAGTTTATCAAGGATTTTAGTACAATTGCTCGACCATTAACATGGCTTTTGGAGAAAGATATCATATTTACTTGGGGTAAGGAGCAAGATGATGCATTCAATACACTAAGACATGAATTGGTTAAAGCTCCAGTATTAGCCCATCCTGACCCCACTCGACCCTTTGTTGTTACTACGGATGCAAGTAAAGTAGTTCTGGGTGGTGAATTATCACAAGAAGATGCACAAGGACAATTACATCTGGTTGCATATTTCAGTCGTGCATTGACCAAACGAGAACGTTCATATCCAACTCATGACAGAGAAGTGATAGCTATCCGGGACACGCTTAAGCATTTTCGGTATTATCTGTTAGGTCCACAAGTAGTGATGAGGACCGACCACAAACCTCTTCTAAAGATCCTGGAACAGAAAGATCCTTTTGGACGAAGAGCGACATTGGTGAGATATATAGCAGAATTTGAACCACGCATAGAGTTAATTCGGGGGCAGGATAATCACATGGCAGATGCTCTTAGTCGGATCGGATGGAATGTCAAGTGGGAAGAGAGAGATGAGGATACTAGTAAAGTGGCTACTATTGCGGTTCTCAAGACGAGATTGGTCCATGCAAGGATGTAAGGTTGGACATAAATTATTTCCAATTGCAGCAAGAACGCGACCCAACCCTTAAAGGGATACGGCAATATATTTTTTATTATTTCATTTTAAAGAACTTTTAAAATTATATGTAAATCTCTTTTACCAATTTTGCGTCACTTTATTATTTCTTGAGATATTTGAACAGAAAAAATCACAAATCAGCGAGCTTTCCGCCATCTTGGATTTTGGCGGATATGCATGTGACATCATAAGCAGGGTCACGCAAGAATTTTATCCATAGAGCAATTGGTTATTATGAGCCCAAAATCATATACTTCAGTAATTATTTGAAATAATTATTTGAAATAATTATTTAAAAGTTCTTTAATTAAAATGAAATAATAAAAAAATATATTGCCACATACTTCCACTCACCGAAACGAGCATGGTTTATTCACTCGAGACCATAAGAAGCAAGTGTTACTTCCAGCATCGCTTATTCCCACCATATTATCATTAGCTCATGACGAAACAGGGCACCAAGACGCTGTGTTGCTACTCTTGCCCAGAGACATAGAAAAGCACCCATTTATCAACGACCAAAAGAAGAGAAACCATTTGCGTTGATAGAAGTAGATCTCAAGGGTCCATTACCGAGAACAAAAGAGGGATTTGACAATATTGTTGTGATAACAGATCCATGTACAAAATATGCAGAGATGCATCCAATTCGAGGACAAACTAGCCAAGTTGTTTGTAAGACACTCATGGTAGGATATCAAGGTATGGTTTACCAAACAAATTGCACTCTGACAATGGACCTTGCTTCATAAGCGAAACATTTGAACAGTTTTGCATAACCCAAGGCATTGAGCATACTTTCAGTCCACCCTATAGGCCACAAGGAAACGCGGGTGTAGAACGGATTAATCGTACGATGGGGAAAGCACTCACAAAATTCGTAGATAAACATCCCAACCGATGGTCTCAACACCTACCTGACGTACAACTAGCATACAACACAACAGTTCACACAAATACAGGAGTTTCGCCGTACGAACTAGTTTTCAAGGAGCACCCGCGATCAAAATTCGAAATTATAACAGAGAAGATATCACCAGCAACGGTTAGAGAGAAAAACGGAACGACTGCGCGAGACTGTTAGTAAGGTATTCCAAAAAGCACAAGAGTCCGATGCCAAGTTAGCGGAAAAACGCAGAGAACGGTACAACAGTAAAACTTCGTTTAAATCGTTGGGGGTGGGTCACCAAGTTTGGAAAAGAAATTTACGGGAAAAAACATTTGCAGATCGGTGGACGGGACCCTATGTCGTGGTAAAGTCCACGTCGGAAACCAAAACATCTTGTGTAGTGAGAAGGAAAAATGGAACTAAAGAAGAAATTGTCCATTACAATTACCTTAAACCTTATCAGATTCGACCTGTCAAGAAACCAAAGTCAAGGAACCCACCAAAGAAGAGTTACATTGATAAATAGATGCTCGTAAATAGCAAGCCTGCTTGCAGGCTATTAGGCATGGACCTTCCAGCTTAATTATTAACTATCGAGACTAAGACTGTTATTGTACATGTGTTCGGGATTAATACAATATACAAATTTACACCCGCTCAGTCCAATCTCCAATAATTTTCCACTCCGCATGCCCCAACGAGATCGCTTCGCCCGCGTGGGCAAAGCGGCCGTAATGGCAAACGGTTGTTAGCGTCAGCCGCGCGGTGTTCTTGGTCTTCAAACAGTAAGCGATCACTGGCACGGGTTCGCATTAAATTCCCACCTGTGCGAATTTAGAAGCGGTCATTTTGCTGTGGGGGATGACCGCAGTTGGAATTGACTTATACATTAGGGTGGGGCCATGGGCCCTTTTACACGTTTTGGCCCACCACTGAAAGAATGTTAGATAATGCTCTGACATCTTTACTAGCTCTAACATGCATGCACGAATTGTATATATAAGACAGGAGATATTAGAATGGCTTACGTTTTCTTTGAAATCCTTGTAACCATATTTACTAGGCTGTAATGTTTTGATCATCTTTGGATCATAATGTTGTTTGATCATATTATTTTTTAGTTCAGCCAATTTCGTGGAGTCTAAAAAGTAATTTGTAATCAACAGTTGTATTTTGCATCTGAACAATTAAGCAACGGGACTGCATTTAATATCTGTTTAAGAAACACTTTACTAGTCATACTTTCTTTCTTCATTGAAGCTGGCTTTCTGTTGGAGCTCTTTTCTTGCTTTGCATTTGTATCTTCAGTAACGTCGACTAAAAAACAGAGTAGGCATAGTAGTATTATATAGCGGTGATAATTTGCTACTTAAGTTGTATGCCCGTTTAGAACAAATCCACCCACAAGATTATTAACTGCATGTTAACTCAACTTTAATATTTCACCAGCACGAATACAGCTACTTTCACACACTATCATGTTGAAAGTAGATAATGTTTTGCGGTGGGGCGAAATTATATCTCTACTTCACTTTATTTTTGTAGCAAAATTATTCTTTTCCTGTAGTTTCCGTTTTTCGAAAGAAAATTAAAGCCAAAATAGTTCAGAAACCGGGGCAGGGAACTGCCCATGGACTCCTTTCTATTCATGCAAAATCAACTGGAGTGGTTGCATCTATATATATATATATATATATATATATATATATATATATATATATATATATATATATATATATATATATATATATATATATATATATATATAAATATATATATATACAGGGTGTATAAAAAAGACGGATTCGTCCTAAATATCCTTATTTATATTGTAAAATAAACTACCATAGTTTCGTTTTGTGCTCAATTTAAAGCTTGTTTTTTCATCTTTCGAATAAAGGGTTTCTTGAAAATTTTGAACTAAGGCTATATATAACATTATATATGTGACAATTCCTCGCTAGGCCAACACTGGAAAGAATGGCAAGAACGTTTTGATATGTATACAGTAGCTGCCAACATCAAAGATGATGCACAGAAACGCGTAGTGTTATTGTATGTAGCTGGCCCATTGGTTCAAAAAACACTACAAGACACCGGGACAGATTTCAAAACAGCTCTCGAGAAGCTCGACGAATATTTTCAGCCACAAAAGAACGTAATATACAAACGCTATGTGTTTAAACGGACACATCGAACCCCTGGAGAATCGGTAGATAACTACAAAACTCGTCTACGTACACTAGCCGAAACGTGTGAGTTCGAAAGCGTCGAGAATGAAATACGCGATCAGTTTTTTATGACGTGCTCGTCTCGTGCATTTCGTACGAAGCTTCTACGCGAGACAGATCTGACATTGGCTAAACATATTGCCATGGCGCGAGCGAAGAAATTAGCAGAAAACAAGCATCAAGTACTCGGGACACAATAACTCTCGCAACAATATTAATCACGTGAAAGACGAGAGAAATGACGAAGCTAAAGAGTCTAAAGACAAGGTAAGACCTCCTAAATATGCACCAAAACCACACAAACAAAGTCAGTGCCGAAATTGTGGAAATGAATTTTAACAAGCATAAAGATGTCTGTCGAAGATATTAGCTGATTGTTTGAGCTACTCTGTAAATTCGAGTTAAAACTAGAAAATACATGCATGCAGAAACCCTCGCCTTGCTGACAAAACCATTGTATTTTCTGAACACGAAGTATCTAAAGCAGTTGTCATGATAACAAGATATAATTTTTCAAGAATATTCTTACAAATGAAAATCGCCTAAAAATATCACTTTTAATTACAAAATTATCAATTTCCCAACTTAATGCACCAATTCGTTAAGCAAATATTCTAGGACAATTAAGAAAACAACTATGACACACACACAATGTTGTGGGAGAAGGGTTGTCGAGGAGAAATGCTCCGATTATACTTTAAACTGTGGCCAAAGTGTCGCCCCACAGACTCACTATTACAGCAATATGATTATGATATAATTATATGTCCTCAGGGGGTCGTAGTTCCCCCATGTTGGACTTTACCCAAAGGGTAGTAGATCCCCGAGATGGGCATCCTAAATGTCCAAGGGGTAGTAGATCCCCGTGATGGTCATTGTTTACTTTAATGTCCAAGGGGTAGTAGATCCCCGTGATGGTCATTGTTTACTTTAATGTCCAAGGGGTAGTAGATCCCCGTGATGGTCATTGTTTACTTTACAATACACTGTATAATACATTGATTTGTGTGAGTCTATGGGGTTGAGGGTGACCTTTGGGAGCACTCCATCCCCACAAATACACAGCATGTGTATTCCCCATAGACGAAAAAGCCCAACTCCCACCACAACTGTAATCGTATAGAAGACAGATGATCTTTGTGCTTTTCGAAGACATGTCGTCTATATTTCTCTTTCGACACACTTTAAATAATTAATTTATTAAAATCATGTTATATGCAAATAGAATTTTTTTTTTTTTTTTTAAACTACAAGTTGATCGTAAGACATATATTTGAGCATTACCATCACTCATACTACAGCTGGACACAATGAGGCTTACTGATCCAAGCAGGAAACTATGCAGACGAAGAGGTGAAACCTGATTGGTCTATTTTCCCGCACGCATGGGAAGAGATTTGACAATGGTTTGTTGTTAATTCAGCCTTGCGCTTTGCACGTGTATGATCACACGATTCACAGATTGACCTTTGTACCAGACCTTTGTACTCCAGGAGACTTTGCACAACTTTACTCTTGTCCTAACGCTTGTTTCATTAACTTAAGTTTATAATGCTATGGGCATGTATAAACTTGCTATATATATGTTAGGTATGTAATTATACGTAATACAAGCTTCAATTTAAGGTAAAATTCAACCACAAACGCTTCGCAAAACGTTTTAAAGTGTTCTTTATAAAACTAAACTGCCTTTAATTTATAAATGGCTTTATCGATAAAGTTTGCAATAAAATGATTCCAAATTCTCGCTTGCAAATAACTTTCCTTTCTTTTTTACAGTTTAAAAAATTCAATATAATGAAAAAGGGAATCAATATTAAAGATATACTGAAATTATATGCTGTCTTGTTTAGTTGTTTCATATACGCAAAAGCCGTCGGGTTTTAAAGCCAACCTTCGTTAACGTCGGCTCCCTTCTTTTAGCCGATTCTTTCGCCCTTTCTTTCAGAGATAGCTTTTGAAATTTACAAAATCTTGCAAAAATGCGAGCAAACATGAGATATATTTGCAAGAAATTTATCAATCATCAAGTCAAGAAATGATTGCTATTTCGCTGTCGTCATGCAGTCGTTATAAAAATTATAATGCAAACTTTAAATTGGACCAATAAGTGTCCGCTATTCATGACAGTCCGCCATATTTTTGAGATCAGTGAGGATGACCACCCATGGTTGGTGACCCACGCCCGCGATAATTGATGAACTTTAGACTTCGCTAATGCTTTCGTTTCTCCGTGTGTAAATAGCCGGGGGGGGGATTAGTACCCTCGCATGGCGCTTCGCGCCGTCAGCTCGGGGATAAAGTGTATGTATGTGTGTATGTGTGTATGTATATACGTATGTATGTATGTATGTATGTCCTGCGAAGGGCAAAACCTTTAGAGCTTGTGGAAAGCTCAATAATTTCGCTAGAGTTTGTCGAAGTCGAAAAAATCTCCCGAAAGATAATAAGTATAGGTTATTTTGAGGCAACGAGGGGATATGTGATTTATTCACCGAGGCGCGCAGCGCCGAGGTGAATAAACACATATCCCCGAGGTGCCTCAAAATAACGTACTTATTTTTCACACTGCGAGGTCGCGTTAATGAGTCAGAATAGAAATAATTCTTAATGCCATATTGCCTTCGTTATGTTTTTTTTTTCATTTTTTGTGCTGCAAAGACATTGCAGGTGAATATTAGAGGGGATTATTAACTGCAGGTGAATATTAGAGGGGATTATTAAACGGAAATTGATTAGAGTGGAATATTGAATATATTCCCCGCTAAGAACAAAGGAAACCGAGCAGGGTGAAAAATAAGGAAGATTCCAGAGAGTCTGTTAGAGTTTCACAACAACAAACCCAAAAGCAAAGCCCTTCTAATTCGTCGGACGATGAGTATACTTTTGCTGTTTCATCATCAAAAATAACTAACATTCAAATACAGATCAATGGGACCTCTATCAATGTGACTATCGATTCAGGAGCGACAACAAATATTCTTGATAGTGAAGCATTCGCTTGTATTAGGAAAAGAAATAAACATGTACAATTAGAGCCAGCACAAACAAATGTTTATGCATATAATGCCGTTCAGCCCTTGCCATTGCTCGGAAAGTATCGTTTAGCGGTTGAATCGAATGAAAAGCGTGCAATGTCGACGTTCTATGTTGTCACTGACCACTAAAGGTATCACCCATAGTAGCTGCCCCCGAACCACGCAATTCAGATGAAATCAGATTATGCGGAGATTACCGTAGACCAAATCAGGCATTGTTAAGGGAGAGACATCCAATCCCAACAGTTGATGGAAGAGATATCTGGTGCTGTCGTGTTTTCTAAGCTAGACCTCAAAGCAGGTTATCAGATAGTCTTAGAGGAGAACTCGCATAACATTACCACTTTTTGCACACACAAGGGGTTGTTTCGGTATAAACACCTGCCATTTGGTCTATCATGTGCTTCAGAAGTATTCCAAAATGCAATACAGCAAGCGCTCCAAGGTTTAAACGGGGTACGAAATTTCGCGGACGATATCATTGTATGGGGTAAACCAAAGCCCAGCATGACAAAAACTTAGAAGCACTCGTACAGCGATTAGTTATGAAGAAATGAAGAAATTTACATTAAACCTGGAGAAATGCAAGTTTAATCAACCGTCACTTTGGTTCTATGGCTACATTCTGTCAAAGGACGGGCTGTCAGCAGATCCAAAGAAAGTCGAGGCAATTAAGAATTTCAAAATACCAACAGATTTCAGTCAGTTACGCAGTTTCTTAGGTCTGGCCCGAATTACTGTTCACGATTTATTAAGATTTTTCCACTCTCACAGCCCCTCTACGTGAAATAACAACCAAATCGTGCAATTCGTCTTGGTCAACTATGCATGAGAAAGCTTTCACCAAAGTTAAAAATGCTATTGCATCGGACTGTACGATGGCATTTTATGATCCAAATCGACCTACGAAATTGACAGTTGATGCAAGCCGTGTCGGACTTGATGCGGTATTAGCCCAAACACAAGAAAATGGTCAATTTCGCTGCATAGCATATGCTAGTCGTTCCCTAACGCCCGTGAAAACTCGCTACTCGCAGACGGAAAAAGAAGCATTGGCTGCAGTGTGGGGTTGTGAACGTTTTCATGTTTACCTTGTTGGAACACAATTTGACCTCATCACTGACCACAAACCATTGGAAATAATTTACAACCCAAAGTCCAAACCGCCGCTTCGGATAGAACGTTGGTTACTACGATTGCAACAATACAAGTTTAATATCAAGTATCGACCAGGTGGCAGCAACTCAGCCGATGTGTTGTCTCGACAACCTTTATTCACCAATTGCAAGTCAAGTACCATAGCGGAGAAATATGCCAATTTCATCCAAAGTCACTCGGTTCCTAAATCTTTCACGCTCGATGAGATTCGTACCACTACTTTAAATTATCCTGAGTTGCAAGAGTGTAACTAGCGCAGTCAAGAAAGAACGATGGAACAAAACAGATAGTTGTTTAAGACCATATCGAAATCAGTACGAACAGTTGACAGTTTCGGAATGTGTAGTTATACTACGTAATTCACAGATCGTCTCCGTAGTCGTGTCCTTCCTATTGCTCATGAAGGACATCAAGGGATAGTTAAAACCAAAATGCTTCTACGCAGTAAAGTATGGTGGCCTGGTATTGACAAGCAAGTGGCGCAAACGGTTAAAGAATGTATACCCTGCCAAGCAGCAGTAAACCAGTCACCAAAATGTCAATCATCCTTGAATATGACAAAGTTACCTCCACATCCTTAACACACACTTAATGCAGATTTCTGTGGCCCATTTCTAAATGGCGGGAAGCTATTGGTCGTGATTGACGCCTTTTCTAGATATCCGGAAGTTGAAGTTATGCAAAGCACGACAACCACGGTTATGATCTCTAAACTCCAAAGAATCTTTTCCCGACATGGATATCCCGAAGAATCGATAACCGATAATAGACCCCCGTTCAATGCGGTTGAGTTCACCGAATATCTATATGCACATGGAATTCATCACCGCCGAATCACACCTTATTGGCCGCAAGCCAACGGCGAGGCAGAGCGATTCATGAAAACAGTAACAAAAGCAATCCGCACAGCTCACTCGGAAGGAAAAAGATGGGAAAGTGAATTAGACCTTTTTTTCTCAACTACAGATCCACACCTCATTCTACGATCCACATTAGTCCAGCTGAACTTTTGTTCAATCGCTCAATTAGAGATAAGCTTCACAGATTAAGAGGACCAGATGTCCGACTTCAGTCAAAAAAGCGTAAGGGCTTCGTCACTGCGCATACCGTACTGCGCATGGCTTAGCAAGTGACTAGAGGCATTCACCCCCGACATTAAATTTCAAAATGGCGGCAACAATTTTATTTTGAGACAACAAACATGAAAATAAACTCTTTTTATTTGCCCGAGAGAGGGATGGTGTGGTTAAATTTGTGTTTAAATTTAAAACTTCCAACGACAGTACGCGTATTGGAAAAGTGAGTTCATCACACTTTGTTTGCAATATTTTACGAATTTTTCTTTTTTTCGATCGTCGTAGGAGTGAAAAACTATAGGCGAAATGAAAATGCCACTTTGCCGAGGTATTTGAGGTAATTTTTTACAATGTACGATGTGTTTTCTTGCTCTTTCTACGATGTCTGATATTCATTGACATATGTGTGCATAATTTATAGTTTACTTTGCATTGATATTAACTAGAAGTTAGTTTTGTTTACAAATTTTACATTGTATGCATGAATGTATACATAGTATTTGTAAATATTGAGTTAATTCATCTATTTATAAGACTCTCTAATAAAAATCTTGTAATAGGAAATGTGAGTTTCAGAAACTGTTTGTCTCAGACAAAAATTATTCTAAAATTAAATACCTCACCTACAAACAACAAATTACAAAATATATAATTTGGGTATATTGCCATATTGGACAGGTTTCCTCTAATGTTAGTATAGACTACATGTGTAGGATATTAGCACACTGACTAAATGGAATTCAATATTTAATATTCTATAAAATCTGTTTTGTTTACACAAGTCTCACAAACTATGCAATATTCCTGACTGGAAACTAGTTTGCAAAGGGTGCAGCTAATTTTTGTTTTAATATGTAAAATAGTATTATGCCGCAAACTACAAACTTTCCAGGCTGCGGCCAATGTGAGACTCCTATAGTCGAACCTCCGTTAGGTAGCCCTCCTTTACGAATCATGCTTAATATTTTGCTTTATACGCATATTAATCACACATAAATATAATGTTCAACACATGTCGACACCAACAGGTCAATGTAAGTTTTTGTATCAGTGTTCGTTAACACTTTCACACATCTTTTCAGTCTACCTATTACTGTAATCAGTGATTTATGATTGAATAAATAGACATTGGACCCCCCCCCCCCAAGTCTACTTTATGGCCATTTTGTTAATGTTTAACCCATTAAGGGCCAGCACTCTCCCCTTGACAAGTGAAATCGTCTGTCGTTAGACAGAGTGAAACAATAAAGTTGGGCACATCAGGTCGCAATGCGACTCAATGGGTTAATGTAAAATAGTATTATTATATAACAACAACAGGGAGTTGCACATTTGCATGATAACATTTGTTGCAGGTTAAAGTCATTACCATGTGAGTAGTTACACAGATTTATACAACAAATTAGGCTTTTTCAATAATTATGTCATGTATGCCGGTTTAGCCTGGGCACCTCGCTTTCATGTATCAGGAGACAAAATGTGATTGGATCACTATTCATGGGAATTTGTTGTTTGTAGGTGAGATATTTAAAGGTGATCTACAGTCCGTATGTAAACAAAGCCTTTGTTTACATTTTTGTGTCAAAAATATTGAGCTTTATTTGACAACTATTTATATTTTCAAGCTTCTAGAGTATAATAAATGATCAAGAAACAACAATCAGGCTTTTCAAGAACTCAAAACATAGTTAAACTGTTTGTATCATAAAAAGTGGGCTCATTTGTGCACATGCGCAGATCGGACTGTAGATCACCTTTAATAAATATTCTAGAATAATTTTGTCTGAGACACTCAGACACACATTTTCTGAAACTCACATTTCCTGTTACAAGATTTTTATTAGAGAGTCTTTGTAATAGATAAATTAACTTAATATTTACAAATACTATGTATACATTCATGCATACAATGTAAAATTTGTAAACAAAACTAACTTATCTAGTTGTCTATTAATATATGAATTTACTTATCTAGCTTTCTAGTTAATATCTATGCAAAGAAAACTATAAATTATGCACATAATTTGTCAATGAATATCAGACATCGTCAAAAATGCAAGAAAACACATCGTACATTGTAGAAAATGAGTTCAAATACCTCAGCAAAGTGGTATTTTCATTTCGCCTATAGTTTTTTCACTCCTACGACGATCGAAAAAGAGAAAAATTCGTAAAATATTGCAAACTAAGTGTGATGAACTCACTTTTCCAATACCCGTACTGACTTTGAAAGTTTTAAACACAAATTTAACCACACAATCCCTCTCTCGGGCAAATAAAAAGAGTTTATTTTCATGTTTGTTGTCTCAAAATAAAATTGTTGCCGCCATTTTGAAATTTAATGTCGGGGGGGGGGATGAATGCCTCTAGTCACTTGCTAAGCTATGCGCAGTACGGCATGCGCAGTGACCAAGCCCTTACGCTTTTTGCAATGAAGTCAGACATCTGGTCCTCTTAATCTGTGTAAGCTTCCTGGTTTCTCGTCCCTATAACACGATGATAGCCCTGTGGAACACCACGTTGTTCGAGATAAAAAGGAAAGCAGAAAGTGAAGGTCCATGCTGATAGAAGAAAACGCGAAAGAAAGTCAGTTGAAAGTTGGTGATTACGTATGCACCGATTCGAAAAAGAGTTGTCAAGTCTGGAGGATTGTAGCGAGTTACACGAAAACGAGGCTAGTCAGGTTGTTGTTTTTAGTCAGGAAATTTACAAAATAATACTAAAAATTATACGAAGTTATATAAAAGGTTTTCATGGAAAAATTGTTGTTTAAAGTTGCATGCCATCGCACTGTTGTGTACCTCTTTGTTCTCAGCAAGGATACCGACTCTCAAATGGTGAAAAGGTTTCATATTTCAACTTTCCAAAAGATAAAACTGCACGTAAACAATGGATTCATGCAATAAGGCGCGACGAAGGGAACTATTTTAAAATCCATGACAAGACAAAGGTTTGTTCTCTTCATTTTAAGCCTGACGACTTAAAGAAATCTTTAAATGGAAGAATATTTGTAAAGGAAGGCAATATTCCTTCAAAGTTTGAGTGGAAGCTAGAATCGCCGAAGAAACGAAAAGCACCAGCAGTCCGACAGCCACTAGTCAAGTACACAACATGCAACAATGTGCCAAGTACTTCTTCACATGCAGATTTCACAGTCAGTAAAGTCAATGACAACGAGGAATTATTGAAGGAAGAGGTGACAGACTTAAAACGCGTACAGGAAGTATTGGAATGAACTATTAAACACACTGAAGATAGCCTTCGCGATGCAAAAGAAACAATCGCTAACCTTCAACAAGAAAACTGTGATCTTAAAAAGAGTATTTGTTTAATTCAGGAAGAAAGCGTTCAGAACAGTGGACACATGAAAAATCAGATCGAAATTCTGAAGAAACAGAGCGAAATTATTGAACCATTGTTGAATTTGAACAGTCTAACGTCCGACCAAGATATTGCTTTCTACACAGGATTTCCCAACTATGATATATTTATAGCACTTTTTAATTACCTTAACCATGGGATACATGGGGAAAATATAA